GATAGTGGGGTTTGAATCCACTACCGGGTATGTTTCTGAAATGGACGGTGATGGACAACCGGGCTTGTCTTGTGATACTGCTGTTTCGTTCAGGTTGCGGCTTGTTGAGGAATCATGGGGGCTGCGATCATTTGCCAGCTCTGTGTGCAATTCAGAGATTAATACATCCACTTCCGACGCATATGCGAAGCATTGATGATCCAGAAACTGTGAGCGTAGTTTGACCATGAACTCCAAATGTCGGTCAAATAGCAACTGTAAGCGGTCAGAAGGGAGCGTCATTTTTCACTTTTTTTTTGTCCCCGTCGCCAATTGTTATGCTTAAAACTAAATCGATTACCGCGGTAACGAACGAAGCCAATGACACAATGATACGATAAGCTATTCTAATCGGTTGTCCCAGGCCCCGCTAACTAGATGAAGAAGTTCAAGGCAAGTAGGGGAATATATATGTATTCCGTAAGCAGCCGAGTACAAGCAATCAAATAAGGGAAAAAGTCAAGCGCATTTATACAGTAACAAATTGTCCTTGAGCACCATTAGTAAATAGCAAACATAAAGAAACAAAGGACCAATAGCGGTTAAGATAGTTTACAGGTGGGAAATATGACGTGAAGGTAAAAAGAGCGCTTTTGGCGCGAAAACAGCTAAATTCAATTTTTCAAAATAAAATTACAAGATTAAGCCATTTACCAAGTAAGTTCTGGGGATTTGACATCCCCAACACTAACACAAAAATTACCCACAAGAAAGTCTTATGTGACCGACCTCAAACAGTTGTCCCTTTGGCACTCTGGTCACTAAGACCAACTCTAACCTAATTTCCTTTAGAGGTACCTTTAGAAGAATCTTTCCACAGTGTGCGCCAGCAGGTCTACTTGGCTAACACCCCAGAATCTCGTACGGTTTACGCATGCTGTCTCCGAAACACACATATAGGATCCTCGTGTGGTCATTCACTTGACTTCACCTAGCCAAGACGGGGAGCTGATGAGTTGCGCCCTGCGTTTATCTGGCAACCCGACGGCAAATTCTTGCGAACTGGTAGGTGTAGGCATAGCACCAAGTATGAGGGCAGAACAAGCACTATTAGAATGGATCCCCGTTAACAGTCACCTACATACTGTTCGGCTAAACGGCCCCATAAGAACTCGGAAGGATGAGGACATACGTCGTTGTCTTTTGGTCGTTTTTGCCTACGCTCCCACTGACTGCAGCCCGGGTGAAGTGAAAGATGACTTTTACAGAATGCTCTCTGAACTTCTTCAAAAAACTTAATGCTCAGACATAATACTCGTAGCAGGTGACTTTATTGCCCGAGTAGGTAGTTTAAACCAAACAGAAATACATTTAGGTGGATATTATGGTATTCTGGCTCAGCGAACAGATAACGGTGATGGTCTGTTGCAACTGTGCTCAGGCAATCGTTTATTTTTAACAAACACTAATTTTAAGCATAAGGAGAGAAATCGTCTAACATAGTGACCCCCTGAACCAAACCAACGATGAACTCAAATAGACCATATTGCCATCAGTCATCGTTGGAGAGGCTCAATAGAAGACTGTCACTCGTTCTGGAATACATGTTTAGACTCTGATCATGTTCTAATACGAGTACGCATTTGTTTGCGCCTCACTGGACGCAGAAAACCCACACTAAGAATACCCATTAGAATTGAACTCAGTAACGAGAAAGTCAGAAGTGGATTCCAGGAACAACTGAGGTCACACTTAGGTAGTACTGAAAACGAGGCTGAACCAGATGTTGCTTGGAAAGATGTACGAACAGCTGTGGAAACGGCAATGACATCTATTAGCGATTTAAATGAAAGGGTTATGAAAAACCAATGGACTTCTACTAAGTCTATTGCACTGATGGATTCTCGTAAACTCATCATATCAGGCTCTAAACACGATGAAGAGCGTAAACAAACCAGATCTAGGTTAACCAAAAGTCTACAGAGCAATCGTGAGCAGTGGTGTGCAACGAAAGCAAAAGAGGTGGAAAAGGCAGTGGCTGTAGGTAACACCAGAAAGCTTTTCAGACTAATAAAAGAAACTGGAATTAGGAAGTCAAGTGTAAGTGAGACAATATCGGAAAAAGACAGTACTTTTATCTGCTCTCAGCCCAGATGTTTAGAACGATGGACGGAACACTTTAAGGAGCAGTTCAGCTGGCTTGCAGCTACTCTACAGCTGCCCACCATTCCCAGACAACCTGAATGAAACATTGAAATAGACCTACCTACTCTAGCGATTAGGTTGACTAATATTGCAGCTGAAACCTGGGAACTGGACGTAATCCCATTTGACAGGTCGCAATCACTGGTCGTCTCAGTATATAAGAAAGGATCAAAACCATCCTGTGATAACCATAGAGGGATTAGCTTGGTTAATATAGCGTCTAAAATGCTAGCCTCAATAATTATCGGGTGCCTAACAAAGACTGGTGAACTGTAGACATGAGAAAACCAGGCTAGCTTCAGACACGGTCGTGGCTGCATCGACCACATAGTCACTATTCGTCAGGCATGCTTATCGGCGTCAGACAATGATGGTTTTTCTTGATGTGAAAGCAGTATTTGACTCTGTAGACCGAGAAGTTCAGTGGCAATTTCTGTCATTGAAAGGCCTAACAAAGACTGGTGAACTGTAGACATGAGAAAATCAGGCTAGTTTCAGACACGGTCGTGGCTGCATCGACCACATAGTCACTATTCGTCAGGCATGCTTATTGTCGTCAGACAATGATGGTTTTTCTTGATGTGAAAGCAGTATTTGATTCTGTAGACCGAGAAGTTCAGTGGCAGTATCTGTCATTGAAAGGTGTACCTCAGAAGTACATAAGCCTTGTAAAGACTCTTTACTAGATTACTACCAGGATTTTTGGGATGCGTTTCTCCCCCTCTTGATGCAAGTTGTTTCTTCAAGACTGGTCTGCGTCATTACCTGAACTAAGGATTTGGGGTGAAGTAGTCAAACGCGTCAATAACTTCACTTGTCTTTGAAGTCTGACCAGCCGTAATGTGTTGGTGTCTGATGAAATCTCTACACCGATTCAAAAAGCTCGTTTGGCTTTTGCGGAGTTACGTCGCTTATGAAGAAGGCGAGATATCCGTCTATTAATTAAAGGACGAATATACTGTGTGGTAGTTCGTTCTGTTTTACTTTACAGCTGGGAAACGTGGCCATTAAGAGTACAGGATACTCGTAAGTTACCAGTATTCGATCACAGACGTCTTCGAAACATTGGTCGCATTTGCTGGGATCAACGGGTAAGTAATAGTGAGGTTAGACGCAGGGTATTAAGGAATGATGGTAAATCAGTTGGTGAGGTTGTGAATCGTCATCGACTGAGATGGTTGGGCCACGTATTACATATGCCCAACTGACTACCATGGCGCGCAATGCTGACTTGTTTTGAAGGCTGGTTGGAAGAGAGTTATGGGAGGCCAAACCAATACACGGCACCAATGCTTGAAGTCACTAATCGCTAGTGTTTGGCAGGTTGGTTGGTGCAGATTACTTAGGTGGGGTCCTCGTAGTAGCTGACTGACAAGTTCTGTTCAATTGATCGTTCGAAGGTGTTTCGTAGCATCGTGATTTGATCTGTAAACGACCGTTGTCGCGGAATCCAAGAATTATTTCGACTCCTCGTTTCCAACAGTTATGCATCGTATCTTTAAGAAAAACTATCATGATTAACTGTGTACATTCACCTTCTTTGGAATGTACTTTGTTTTGTTACTATTATTTCCATCCAACTACGAGTTTCCTACTTCAGAAGCAAAAAACACTTTAATAAGCTTAGTCATTTCTCAGTCTCCTTTCATGAATTAACACTTTGGGAACTCTCAATTATCTTTTTTAGTTTTCCTGCTCAGAGCATTATTTCTAACAAATTGAAGGCGTGAAAGATTTCACGATCAAACCGTTTCTAATGACCGATTCATAAAAGTATATTTAGACAGCTTTTACATTCACTGGTCTAAAACGCGTAGTATAGAGTATAGCATATTTTGATGGTTTGAGTTTATGCAATCTTTATCTATAGCGTTCAGAAACTGCATATCGATCTCCATGTCATGCAGGTGAATAGAGTTTTTGTTTCGAAAATAATCAGTCTCTTGTACATGTTTAAAGGTGGGTCTAACGAATTATCAACCACAAAACTCACAACTGGTGGAATCATATGATTGATAGGACTATTAAAAACCTATCACTTTATAAATAAATATTTTGGTTCATATAAAAGCACACATCAAAAAGGCCCATACTATCAATAAGTAGGTCGCGAATATCATGTCGGAATGATATTTAATGGTAAGTGAAAATACGCTATTGCAAAGCCCTATACTAATTTTTGAGCAAGCCAACTAGATCCTTAGCTTCGTCGTTCAAAATAGATATATAGGACATGACTGGAGTAATAAGGAAAATAAATTGTTATTCGAGAAATTACAGTCTTTGTTGAAAGCAGACGATTAACTGAACGTTTAGTTAAGTGCGTTTCGGTTTGGTCGAATAGATGAAACGAGTGCTCTGGCGCGAGACTGGTAGGTCCTGGGTTCGAATCCCGCGAGGCGGGATCGTGGATGCTTACTGCTGAGGAGTCCCGCAAAAGGACGAAACGGCCGTTCAGTGCCTCCAGGTTTTCCATGGTGGTCTAGCTTCAATTGACTCATGATCTTACCTATATAAAGATGAAACGAGAGTTAGTGAAGTGATCAAATTTTAAACCCTCATATACTTAATCTTCCCCCAACTTGATCCTCGTGTTTAATGATATGCGCCATATTGATGTGGTCTTGTCAAATTTCCTACATGAAATAAGTGTTCCGGTCAACTTGATCTGAAAATAGGTATTCGTGGGTGTAAATTACATTCTATAGTCAACGTATAAGTAGTGTCCCTCTGTGGATCGTCATATTCCTGTGTAAAAGGAAAACAATGGATACAGTTTTTAAACATTCAAATCATGTATGATTTCGATAGTCCGATTAGTTAACATTCTTTAACTTGGCATATGTATGTCTTCCACGAGAATGCAGACGTCCACGTATAATTTCTAGATGTTGCAGTAAATGGTTTTGAGGCTTCGGTTCCATGGCTATAGCTTCTAAAAGGCATGATTCTGATTGTTCTAGCTTATCTTCATCTGCCAAAGCAACACAAAGGTTATGTTTTGCCTGAATGTTCTTTGGGTCCAATTTCAGCGCTTCTTCAAAATACTAAGTAGGAAAAAAGTGAGTATATGTTGACGTATGTTCAGGATGAGATAGCATTAACGGATTCATAGATTTACAGTTAAAACTTACTTGCTTTGCTAGTTTTATGTTCGCTTTTTCAGTTAACTCTATATCTCCGAGAAGTAAATAAGACTTTATATGTGAAGGATGAACCTGTAAAAGAAAAAAGTCACACACAAGAAAGAAATAACAAATTTTTATCGCGAAGTGCGTCAATCATTACTCTTTAGATATGATCACACAGTTAACATATGACCAAAATGAACAATGACAAAAGAAACAGTTTAGTAGCTAAGGTTTATCAGTTTTCATTCTTCGTTTAACTCTGTTGATGTGGTTTGGGCATTTAACTTTCAGCTGTGGTACAAAGTGCTAAACAATTTTTCAGTCATTTAACAAGCAGAATAAGATAAATTAGTTGAAATTTAACTAGTTAGGACTAAATGAAGGTCTAGAATATTGATTTAGTCATTCCATTAATTCACTGTGATTAAATTAATAAAAAAAACACTTTATGTCAATGATTTTCAGTGCATAAAACTAATAAATTTAAATTTACTTTGATGAGATGAAGTGCGAGATTCCTTGCGTCATCTAGTTTTCCAAGATGATTTCGATAAAGTAGAGCTAGGTTAAATAACGAACCTTTATGATCAGAATCCAGCTTAAAAACGACAAATTAAAAAGAAACATCGAGTTAACACATATCCGGATGAGAAACACGTATGTAATCTAAAACGGATAAAATCTTATAATCATTATGATTACAAATTAGTAGATTAATGACTAAAAAACGAATAGATTTAATGCGGTTTGTACTTCTTATGCGGACAGATATATGTAGTAGGAACTGGAAGTAGAATGGCTTACCAGCAAGAGTGAAATAAGAAGAGATACCAAGAATGATGAATTATGTAAATGATAACTTAAGGGAGATATACAAACGATGTATTTAATGTATGATTTTCATATTTTACAATGCCGCTGTGCGATTTGGCATAAAAAATAAATTGGTTTTCCCCATCAAGCCTTCGTTCACTGCAATAAAATAGACGAGTTAACTGTTTTTTGAACAGCTCAAAGAATAATTACTTCCTTCCAAATGCTACTAACATTATCATCAGTGTAAATCAACTAGCACCAGTTCAGTTTTTTTTGTTGTACATAATCTGTAAAGTGGTGTCTCCATCTAGTCATATGCAGTTTTTTTCAATCTTGAAACCTGCTGAAGTGTCTAATTTCAAATAAAAAATGATTTAGGTTAGTCATTAAAAACGTTAGATTCCCACTCAGTGGTCGAGAGGTGAAGTGTTCGCGAGCGGGACCGAAGATCCTGGGTTCGACTCCCACGTGAGTTGTGATCGCGCATGCTGAGGAGTCCCATGCTAGGACGAAGCCGCCGTCTAGTGCTTCCAGGTTTTCAATGGTGGTTTAAAATTTATCGTTTCATGATTTCAATAAGATGGTTAATATTGTAGTATCGGAATATACAACAAATTAGTTAGGTTTCTTGCTTCAGAAAGTAAGATTCTCTGTCTCTCAAATTGCTCTGAATTAATAATCACATGTGTTTAAATAAATCACTTACAAGAATAACATCTTGATAATGTTTAGATGCTTTGATATAATTCTTTTTATCGGTTTGTAACATACCCAAGGCGAAATGTACTTTGATCGGTTCGAAATTTTGTTTGAGAAGATGTTCATAGCTATAAATAAAATACAAACTTGATGAGTTTTTTTGGATAATATGGCCATTAGATTTGATGCTCATTTCATCACATTTAAAACTAAATATTTGGTACAGAGACTTATAGAGAATTAAGATGGTAAAAAATTGCTTTAATGATCAGTAAGTGGACCTGGTAATCTTCTGCTAATCTTGAATTTTAGTACATGGTCTGCCAAACCCAAAGCAATAGGACTTTCAGGGTGTTCATCAGTTTAAAGGGAAATTGACACTTTGTTCTCATACACATCATCAATGAAAAATCCCTAACATTCTTTTTTAATTCGTAAGAGGAGGAAAAGGATTTCTGTAAAAGAATCAAATTGTCAAAAACTTGTTTAACTTGCATGTTTATCGCTCTTAGCTGGTCATCAGGATTAGCTGATTCACCAAGAGTTGATGCAACGGCAAACAGGGAAGGCTGGATATGATAAAAGAAATCGATATAGTTAGTGGGAACTCACTGAAAACAAGTTATTATAATAAAATATTTATATGTTCATGTAGCCTTCCTAAATTTACATCCCGAAATTCATCATAGATTATGTTGTATTAAATTATCGGATCGTATTTTTTTCCTAGTGGATTTAGAGTTTTGCGTCTGAGCTTTATCATATACCTGTGCGTTTAAAACAAAATATTGACAAAAGTGGAGATATTTATGGACTTGGTACTACCATTTTTGTAAATTGCATATCCAATGAAAAAACAACCCTGTGGTTGTAATTTGATTAGTAGGGAATTAATAAGAAGTCAACACTGTATCTTTAGAAGTTTCTATAATAATGAATTTCAGTGGTCTTTTAAAACCAAAGGGTGTTAACATTGTATTTAAAACTGCTCACTTAAAGAACTTATCATTCGTATTTTTCTCAGGAAAAATAGTGTATTTATCAAAGATAACTTAGACTGTTAACAATTGGCCATATCTGGTATTAGTCAGCAGTGAGATCTGTTATAAGCGTTTCGTCATCCGGATGTGATGCTGTCTTTGGTGAAACTCGAATCCGAGAACAAACTCTTGAGCACTAGCCTCACATCGATAATAAGGTGGTCAGTTCTGCTCAATAAATGAACAAATAACACTGAAAATAATAAGTGACAGCTCTGCAGTCTATTGGTTAAAGCTTTGTCCTCTCATCACAAGGAATAGATGCTCAGTTCGCGTTTCATTGGTGGCCGTGAAGTTTACTGATGCACAGAAATTCAACAGATAAGTTTCAAAAATCAGTAGATACGCTTACTGAATCTCAAAATGTAATAGCGATACATATACAAGCAATATCTGAAGATCTATTTATTGTGTGTGTGCAAACAGTAACAGATTAACAACTGTAAGACACAAACCTTGGCAATCAACATTAGAAGTGTATTTGTCAAAACAACCACTTTTTATTAAAATTCTATCCCACTGTTTCAAGTCCAATTTAAGGAACTGAATATTTCAGAGCTCAATTGTTTTTAGAGAGAAATACGGTATTTTCTAAAATTCACTTACAGCTGAACAAATAATATTTTTGAATTAGTAACAATGTTATTGATATTCAACATAAAACATACCTCATGTTGTGGATTGTAAGTTAAGGCAGTGTTTAAATAAGACAAACCCTCGGATTTCTTATGAGACTCTAAGAGAACGACTCCCAACTGAAAGAGAATGTCAATGAAATGTAAAGAAATCCAACTTATCAATCATCACGGTGAAAACTATCAAATAGTTTAAGCAACAATGCATAAAAACAACCAGTTTGGTTGCTGTTTCCATTAGGGAAATAGTATGAATACATCATATTTAAAAATGAAAAAAACATCTGCTTAATGTTCTAAAACTCTGAACCTTGAGACTAACTTTGTTCCAAAGAAAATAAACGCACAAGTTTGTTTCTTGTGCTTTACCAGTAAAAAGCTATCACGTACATCTTATATTGAGTTTCAAATCGCCCACTACATTTATTTATTTAATGGGGAAAAGAAGAAACTGGTACTTAGATTGTATTGCGGGATGCGTGATCGGGCAATCATTACACTAATCGTATTCTACCTAGTCCAGTTAACGTTTAGTTCGTCTATAATGCCAGTAGGACCAGTGACCTGTTTATCAAATGACACAGCGAACAACAACCAAGACCTTGGCAATTATTTATCTCTGAGCTCCTAATCCAGTATCCAATCAGTAGGCGAAGACAGAAAGCAGATTAATTCCCTATTGTACCCTATTTTAACTAGAACTGAAAACTCACAATATTATAACTGAAATGTCTGACCACATAGCAGCACAATTTGAACATGACAATATGTACATAACTTGACCATAAAGGACATAAAAACGTATTAATGGGAAAATAATTAATTTTGGTGATGGGGAATCTCATACTAAGACCAAAAAGGCATCCGGTGCTTCCAGGTTTAAATTGGTGGCCTAACTTAGATAAGTTCATGATTTCAATAGTAATAATTAATGATAAATCTGAAATATTAAGGCGGAAAACAGCGATTTGTCGATAGGCGGATATAAGAAAAAAAGTACACTGATCGGTTCATGATTTCAATGAATAATACAAAAATCCAAGCATCTATTAACTCTACAATAATATAAATAATAATCACTCGTATGATGGCCTCAAATATTATATTTTCACACTATTTGCCCAATTACATCATTTATAATATGAACCTTCGACATTGTTCCTAAATAATATTCGTATGCATCTTGGAACAAGAATGGTCAGATTGTCAACAGAAATATGTTGGAGTTGGAAACCATTTTCAAATAGGAATAGCTTCAATCTTAATGAACGAGAACCATTTTGTTATCATTCAAATAAAACTATTTCTTTGAACTGAATAAGTTCTGACACATTTCTGGTAAATATCCTAGTGGTTTCACAAGTATTAATTGGTAAAATTATTGTACTTCAAGGAATAATGTTTTGCCAGTTTAATTACTATTTAGGTGTTATATTCTAGCAAAGACATGAGTACGGGTAACTTCCGGGACCTATTGATGGACGATTATTCTATATACATTCTTGTTTAACCATTGAGTGATTAGATTGTGTATATTCACATTTATCTTATTATAAGCTTTATTTTGACCTATGAATTATTATTATACGACTCACTGTCTCTAAATTATACTCCGTTTATTAATTATTGTCACCCACGTTCACAGCCACATTTGGCTTGATCTTGTACAAATATCATTTTCTATTTTATGGTGTGATGCGGTCTGTCTGTCTGGTATATACACCGAGTATGCTTGAAATAAATGATAGGCATAGCAGAAGCTGCAATTGGTGTTCTGGACTCAATTGGAAGGGCTAGGCGGACAAGGGACCAATAAAGACGCTAGACTGCTCATACTGGTCGAACGTCATTGATTTGGCACAGATTTGGAAAGTCGTATTTCGATTGGTGAATAAATCACGTGATAAAGGCCGGACATAAAATTATAACGAATTGGCAACGGCCTTCTTTTATACAGTCATAACATTAGGTGATGTTTTACTTTTACACTGTACTGGACTTCTTTCACTTGGATTTAAAGTTCTTGATATCCTAACAAATCGGGTACTGGTATTCATATTGTAGGTGTATGATGTTTTGAAAAATACACTGTGACAACAAGAGATAAATTTTTTGAGCAATATGATCCAAGATTCCAAACATGGTATATGCACGAAGACGAATTAACAATATATTATACTTACGTTGTAATTTAAGTCTGGGCTTTTCGGTTGGTACGATAAAGCATTTCTATACGCTTCCTCAGCTTCTTTATACCTAGTTTTAAGTAAAAAAGAAATAGACGAAGTATTACTGTGGTGGATTTAACGAAGCAAAAGATGAATAGGCTGAGATTCGAAACTACCAGAGATATTATATTTTAGTCGTCATTTTCTATCGACTAAGAGAAACTGGGATAAGATTGACATTAACTAACGAACAAATAGCATACAACTGGAAATATTACGTAACTAAGTTTTAGAGGACTTGTACACTTTTGAATGTCGCAGAGGAATGTAAAACAGATGGTCAGTTTAGGTAGTTCGTCTTTTGGTTTCTAGCGATTCAACTGCTCCTGTCCATAAAGCTGGTTAATGTTCTGTCAATTACATTTACTGTGCTGATGATAAGCACCCTCCAGAGTGAGTAAGGGCAAAGGTTTACATAATGTTGTCAATAGATTGATCTTTGGGAATCAAGTTCAGATGGACAGTAGAGTTAACATCAACCATTCATTTTTAATTACCCACTTATTCAAAAGGAATCTGCTAAAAGTGGTTAGGGTCCGAATCCTTTAGATGACAAAAAAGGTTGCCGTATAAATTAAAAAAGCTGAGCAGAACACCCTAGTTTGTTGGGAGGGGTATTGTTCGTCTATATACCTTTGAGATATAAATAACCAACCAAATACAATGTTTTGAAAATGAGCATATTATCTTGAGTTCAGATTGTGGACTTACCTTCCTAACTTGATAAGTACACTACCATAGTTTTGGTATGCGTCCACAAAATCAGATCTCAGTGAAATAGCTCGGCGAAGAAGAGCAGCAGCATCCTCAAGCCTTGGGGGTGATTTATTGATGTATAAATTGGCAAGATTGATGAAAACCATTAGATCTTTGGGAGAAACACGAGCATAATAAGTTTGACCTACGAAATATGTAAACCAAACACTGAGCAATGTCAGCGTACGTCAGTGACCAAATTTTAGGAAAGAATTTAAGGGAAGCCTGAAGAATCTTGATCCAAACATCACTCACAATAAGTTCACGAATGTCTTGAGAGGGAGATTACTAGCCTTGTTTTTTTTAGTAATTAACGCCCATTTATGATACAACATGCGGAAATAAATTGTGAAATCATTTCGTCGTGCCTCAGGTGTGTTAAAAAACCAGAAGCATTTGTACTAGAATTATAGAGAATGCTATAAGTAGCTGACCGAGCTAAGCGAAACGCTTATGACGAGCAAGTAAAAGTCCGACGGTGAACCCCAAGCATAAACAAAGTAAAGCCTTTATAACGAGATGATTTTCTCGGATATTTCCAACTAAGGTCGCGAATCTCAAATCTTTCTCTAGACTTCATAGTACAATTCAAGTAACTGTATATAAGTTGGTATACTAAAGATCACATTTATGGTGTGCAAGTTAGCAGTACTACCTTCTCACAAAAACTTTGTAAAGGAAACCCACATAAAACACTTGATATAATCGAGTTTAGGGTTTGGTACTTGAATCGATAAACCGCAAGATTGTAGATTTATTCAGCACCTTTTTGGCTCCTCATAATTACTGATAAGTTAAGGTGTAACAATTAATACTACTTAAACTGTAACAACATTTTCTATCAGCTAAGAAATTCACTCCATCAAACCATCCAACTACACAATCCATGAAAATATTTTACAACATTCAGATTACACTGGGAATAACCACTACCACATTAACTCGTCGAAAACTTTTATAACGGGCACAATTGAATAAAAATTGATTTTTGAGTGAGTTACTTTCACTTTTAGTTATTTATTTTTTTACGTGACAAGCAAATGGAGGTCATACGATTTTGGTTCAGTATTTTTTCATATAGATAACAACTTCAAGTACCTAATATTATATCTACATAACTAATTCTTCAAAGGTCCTACATTGTAAAATCTATTCGGCTGTTTTATGGATGAGTAAATAGATGGAAACGGGAAACTTAGGAAGCTTTCTTCCAATGCAATAGTTTATGCAATTTTAAGCTGTACTAAATAACTGATTTACAGCATTTTTATGTTGTACTAGTTCTAAATTTCTATCTGACACACTAACTATCACTATATATTTTTTCATACCAGAGTTACAGTTAATTAGTTATAAAACTGTTATTCATATTTGCACCGTAAATGTATTAGTTTTGTGAGTATTGTGCACCACGATGGACGTCAAAATCCAAATAATCCAGGATAGTACGGGGTAATAATCTAGTATTCCTAGGGTTCTGATTGGTAGTTAGGGGAACGAGTTAGAAGTTGCATGGACTATCGATAGCTTTTGGAATATACAGCTTAGTGTTAACGGACTCGTAATTAGTGGAGTACAAGAAGAAAATCCATGAAGTTGGTATTTAGTAGTATATCCTTTAAACAAATTATCAGTTCGTCCATGTCAGTCGTTCCAACATTTCTACAGAACAATTGGGTTAACAACAAGCAAATGTTAATCTTGGTTTCCGGTTATTTTTATAACTAACAAACAGCATAAATACCTTTCTTTGGTTTAGGGAAATATTCCAGTGCTCCGTAATACGCTTCTTCTGCTTTATCTGGCATTCCCAGGTTTACATATGTGCGGCCAACATTGATTCGAGCGCCCATATCATTTGGTTGAACACTGCAGAATATGCGTAATTTAGAGGTATACAATAGAATGATTATTTATAATTATTCTGCAGATTTTAAGCAAGATAGAAAAATTTTTATAATAAGGAAATTTTCGGCTACGAAGTTTAATATATGTTAAATGCACAAAAAGAATTATTAATACAATTTTAGCCAGACGGAGCATGTTGGATTAGAGTGGGATTATCAAATTTCAAAGACGAACTGATGTTACGCATAGGAAATAATACCCATAACTCCATTTCGAAAAAAAACATTTGGTTACAAAAGGTTACCAAATGCGTGATAATTAATGGAAGTGAGGGGATAGGATAAAGAGTATGTGTTAAGAAATTATCAGGTAAGATTATACATTTCTAACTTGATGATTGAGTTAAATCAAATAACGATAGACCAAAAATCAGAGGACACAGCTGACACATTTGAAAATATGGGATAATAATTTTCCATGACCAATCTGAGGAAATCAATGAAAAGCTCAGAACAGAGATTTTTTATTGTTATGGTAAGTTTACAAGGATCGTCTGAAACTTTGAGGAGATATGTGCCTATTTAGACAACTGAAATGAACTATGATTATATCAAATTATGTTTGTATTAAAGCAAGTTAATACTAGGAATTGAAACGAAAGTATTTATCAGAGAAACTATTTTCTGAGAAATGATAATTATCGACCACAGGCAACACTTAAGTTAATGGCAAATATCTTTCTTATATTTAATGATCTGATATAAAAGATTTGCTTTTGTAGTTTACAACAAATATTCTTGGTACGGAATGGCACCAAGTTATGCTCCATACAAAACAAAATGACAATATTGAGAGATAAAATTAAAAATCATGTGGAAATAAGTATTAAAGAGCACCGTGCAATTAAGAACAGAAAAAGGAGTCAAAAAACAACGAAACAAAATGTGTACACCACGATCAAGTCAGAGAAGCTTGTGCTTTGAGGTGGAGAGATTGGTGATCCAACACAGTTGTCGGATATCAAACTGCAGTTCTGAGAGACAAACTGCCAAACTTCCCGCACAGTAGTGCAGTACATCTAAGCTTTGACACAATCACAAAGACATCCCTAATTTGCCTTCATTAGTTCTAAACGTAAACTCGAGCTATCCGAAATTTCGATGCTAGTAGATTAAAAATTGTCTTTACTAAAGCCTGATTCTTACTTGGGTAAGTTCTTAACAGCATGCTTATAGTTTATAAAACACGAAAGCTTAATACTTTCAAGGTATTAACACAGGTCAAAAATTCGTCGTCATGGAATATCAAACTGAGAATAATAATAATAATAATAATAATAATAATAATAATAGCCTACATTTTTGAATATGCACAAAATGAATGCAGATTAAAGAGAACATGAAACGTACTTGACAGCTTTCCTAAAGTAACCAAGTGCTTCTGAGTATTTTCCTTCAGCTTCCAAAGAATGCCCTACATTATTCCACATTTTGGCATTGTTAGGATTTACTTTTAACGCTGATGTAAACAGATTGTATTCGTTAGACCTAGAAAAGCCAAGAAAATTAAGTAAATAGTTGAGGCTTTTGGCCTCATAAAAGAATGAAGGCACAAAACATAAGATAAGAATAACTTAAGTAAAAATGATGGAGTTGTATTGCTCTGCACAAATGCAATTAATAAAGAGACTCATTCTTTTACAGTTTTATTTTGAAAAGAGTGCAATCTTCTTAAAGTTTCAAAAGTGGTGTTGATAAGTAATAAGCATCCAACCACAACAAAAATCAATGTATTTTGACCATATAAAACGAGTTTCACATTGTCTTGTTCTTTTGGCAAACGATGGTCATAATGGTGAAGTTTGGGTCTTTAGACTTGATACCGAAATATTTGACAATATGTATGGTATGCAACTTATGCGGTCATACATAAGTAGTAAGTAACAGGGATTGAAAATGGAATACTTGACAGCAGAAGACTGAATTGAAGAGAACAGGGAGGAAAACAGAAGGCAATAAGAATAAAAACAGAATTGGAAAAATCAAGAAGTATGTACAAGACAACTGATGGAAGATGTGCAAATAATGTACTTAATGCATGATTTACATATTTTACTAAGCCACTGTGGGATTTTGCATTAAACAATGAATTAGTTTTCTCCAACAAGTCTTCGACCACTATGAATATTTCCGACTTTATATTGACTTGTTCAATGGGTAACAAAACAATTTAGATGTCAGGGTAGAGAGAACAGTTTATCCATGCTTTATTACATATTTTAACAAGAAATGAATGATATATAATGGCATTTATATTCAAAGAAGCATACCAGTCTGTATTGCGTCTAACAGTCTTACAAACAAATGCGATAATGATTAGTCCCATTGAAATTCGAAGATATTTCCGAGAGCGAAGACCATTTTTAAAGCTAAAAACAAGTAAGGAATTCAAAATTAAAAGTTTAATAGGTTGCTTTGAAAAGTATGTGCAAACTTGCCATATTTAGTTTACGTATCTAAATACAAAGACTTCGATAAAAATTCTGATACTCCTTATTCATCAAATCAGTTGTCGTGATCAAGAATAGATAAAAATTTAACAAGAAATCTCAAAAGAATTGGTCAAGAAACATGAACTGTTACATGACACAAATCATAGAGAGTCAGTGAGTAAAGCACTGTCCTGAAACATGGTCTACTTTGATGGATTTAAGTGAATAGTTTAAAGAATTAGTTGCAGGTGAGAGGCTTCTCTGTCGTGCCAGAACGGGTACCTGGAATTCATCATGGACTGATATATAGAAGAGAACTAATGATGCCAGTGTACGGTGGGGGCCAACACACAACAAACCACTTGATAACACAACCAGATGATTGGGCAATAGTGGGTTTATATTTCTTATGACTTATGACCGGTCTAAATTCATGTAACAAAAAACACCAATCGGAACCTTTTTGGCACCAATTTCTTTGATCCGACGACTGATTTCTTATTGGTTCACGAATCTCTAACTTTTCGCTGCCTTAATCACAAGTTCAGAAATCAGTAACTAGCCTCAATCATATTTATATTTCAGACAGACGTAGTTTATATACAAGTAGACCAGACCGCATCGCACCATAAAAAAAGGAATTACACATGACCAACCCTAAAGTGGCTGTGAGACTGAATAATAAACTGACAACAGACTAAGAATACAACAGTACCTAATGGATTAATCAAAAGCTCAAAATAAAAGGAACATATATATAATAATGGCTAATAAATCAATCCTGGCAATTGCCATTCATTTAGTTTACTTTTGAATAATAACAATACTAAAACACTTAAATGTCCATAAAATTCGTACAAGTTATTAAAGATTAAGACACTTTTGTTTCATGACTTTGATCAGGGGTTCGGGTGTTTTATTTCATCTAAATGGAAAAAAATAAAGCATGCAATATGTAAAAACGCTTTAGAAGGTCTACTATTATTCTGACAACTGGTTTTAGTGGAGAACCTAATTCAAACTCGGTAAGATAAATCATGCTTGATCAAAGACGGTTATCACTAAACGTTTACTGATAGGTGGGGCGATTTAATACAAATTATATGTCTCAAGGGCACATAAAAGTGAAAAATGTAAAGTTCTGCAAGATAGTATGACTAGGCCAATTATTCACTACCCACATATCTTAATCTGAATCACTCTAATACTGTCTATGTATGTAATTATTCGATCTTTGACACAAACCTCATAAGAAATTTTTACTTTTCTTATTGGTTTGATCAAGCGTTAAAAAAAAGCGTATATGTTGTGACTGGACCGAACTTGTAAATCCCAACAGTTATGACATCTTGTGTACATTTAAAAACTAGTCTGATTTGATTCTCGATGGTTGATCAACCGGTTTCGATTAGTAGTAAAAACTATCTTATCAATTCGATATTCGCTATAAACTTTAGATGACAAAATAAAGTGTTTTGTTCAGAACTGTCGACTGAAATTAAACATAAAAACAAATCTATATTTGAGCATAACCAATAATGCATAAACCTAGTATGGATTTATGAGAAAGAATTTCAGTCAATGTTTAAAAGCCAACAGAATAAGTTTCGAAACGTATATTACCTGCAAAATTTCTTTACTTCAAATGATTTTGAATTTGTCATAGTTTTTGTTTGAACAAACTTAAGACCAAGTAGATTTTCAAAACCCAAACCAATAAGTAGACAAAAGCCCAAACTTGGTGTGTATAAAACACGCTCGGCAACAACGAAACCAACAGGAAAAAACAAATTACTGGCTGGTATAAAGGGAAATACCAACAAACTCAGAGCCTATGAAAAGAATGACATAGAATAAAGCCTTGGTTAACTGCAGCCCATATTTCAACGATGAAACGGTATCACAAATTAACCAACAAAATTGTAAAAATAAAACAATCAGGACCTAATCTTAAGCTGTTGTGGCTACGAAAAGCAATAATAAAATGCGTACTGATAAATTATGCCTTTTTCTCACATGCAAAACTTTTTTAAGAATGAGTGATTTACATAATAAGTTTATGAACAATACGCTATAAAAATAACATACCATACATACAGCTCGACTTTGATGTAAAGGTGTTTTCCAGTTAACAGTAATGAAAACTAGCAATAAGATGAAACTGAAGGCCATCAGCGTCAAAATATTACGTGGATCTGCCCAGCCTTGAATAAGTTTTAGACTTCCCAAAGTCCAATCAGCGCATAGATTAGAAGGGAATATTAATAAGCCTAGATTAACGGGAACCAGGTAAAGATGAGTAAGGCGACGAGTCAGTGGAGGTGCATGAGAAGCTGGATTATCAAACCTATATACAAAAGACACAGTAGATTAAGAATCATAAGTAAGTGCATACAGTAATCAGCACTTACCCCTCTACATATGCCATCTACTCTAATGAAATGAAAGATATGTAAGTATTAAAATAAAACAACTTTGAATACAATACCAACTGCTAAGATTATTAAAACCAAGGAAATATGAAGGAGTAATGTTACGAAATACAATTTGAATAGATAGGTTTTGATACAGATAAGTATATCGATGCTTAAACTTTGTATAGAAGTGAATGGATCTGACGGCATAATAAACGAAAATCTATAGAAAATGAAACAAACAAAAATATACTAGGTGAGAACGAAAGTTAAATGAATATTTTTAGTTTTACACTACAAAATGACTTAAGTTAGGTAGCCAACGACAATGGGTATTATTGAATTATTCAAAATTTAGATGAGGATTCAGTTCACTGAGCTATATCACTTATAATATTTCACTTCTAATGCCTGTTATCCTAGGAACCAAAACGAAGTACCCAACATATATTTTTCATGCGGTCAAGTGATAAATTTTAAAGATTTATTAATTACTAGTTCTAAAACACAAGTTGAAAGAGAGAATGAGAACTCAGTAGTATATACCATGAGGTAATCAGAAAAACATCCAAGACAGACAAATAAAACGTCTTGTTTAAACTATTAGAAAAACACAGTGATACAACAGAAAATGTTAAGAACTGCTTCACAATTAAATGCGCTGAAGTATGTGATTAAATGATGAATCAACTGTATAAACATAAGAAGACAGAAAAACAAACCATACATTTTTCAATAAAATAACAGATTTATATACACATGTATTGTGAGTGTTGGAAAGCACTATCAAAACCGTACATTTAAAAATATTTGGGATTACAGACGTACTAGACAACAATGACTAATAAAAATTGTCAGGAAAAAAGTATGTTAATCAGTGCTACCTACTCTGTAAAATGTGGCAACTGTCCAGCCATTATTTTAATACGTGCAATCAATACGGCAATGAAAAACACTAGAAGAATGAACATCCTGTAGACAGGTGCACATGAAAACCACGCTGGTGAAAACAACTTAAATTGAATTTGTTTATAAGCAGATGAAATTATATCTTTGAAAGTTTTGTCTTTTTGGTAATTGGCGTTTTTGAAACTATTAGACGAGAAGTCATGTTCAGTTGATAAAATTTTCTAAAAATATTGATAACCAACACCGCGGCTTACTTGATAAACGGCATAAAGTTCGTAAGCGATAAAAATCCCGAAGACAGTGATACACTGTTCCTTGCAAAGTGTTCCTATACATATTAAAAAGCCCACTGTGAGTGAGTTAATCAGATTCACCCAAAAACCTATGAAGAAATGTGGAATACCTTGTTAAACAATGCTGTTTTGAAAAAAAGACACATACGTTTACGATTGAATATAAAGATAAACTGAACATCCAGGAAATAAAATAAGGGTTATGTTCACAAAGCAAAAAACCCAAAAACATCCCAACTTGAAAATTACTCAGATTTATATTTTTACGAAAAATGTTTACGTTAAACATTTTTCACACCCAAAATTGTGTGGCTTATAGGGAGTAAAAAGTTAGTTTATTGACGTTTTACATATTTACTTGCATACTACTCGTGAAAAACACCACACGTAGCCATAGAACAGTAAAAGCAACTACCATCTTATCTCGAAATAATGCATACAATGTCGAGTCACTAGACTAGTGGCCACATTGCAACTTTGTCGATAGGATTCGACCTGCACTAAGAAGGACCTGGCATACATGACATTGATCACCATCTAGTGATCAATCATTTGTTAATACATCTCAGTCCTACATGAGGTCAGTCGAGGCCCAGATAGTTCAGTGGTAACGTCTCTGACCTTGGAGCTGGATAACACGGAATCGAATCCGTCAGGGAGCATCAGTTCCCTCAAGATTGCAGGTACATCTTGCTGACGAGCGCCAAGTAGCACGAAACCTAGGCCCAGGGTTTTCTGTTGACTACCTCTAACCACCATCTTATCAATCTATTTATTACAAAAAGCTTTTGGACAGTAATTTATGAAGTGAACCACTTTTGAACATTTGAGGAATATCACATCGTTGATACTAAAGACCATTAATCTGAAGCATCATCAGTAATGATGTATAACTTTGTACGTAAAACTCGACTTTTGTTAATTATATCAACATAATTAGTGTATAAATGCATCGGCTAGGTTCAATCGCATGCCAATTCAAGTAACCCGATTCGCAAAACTACACTGAAAGATAAAGAGAATAGACGAGTCGGGGGGGATGAAAAATACTAAAGGAATGAAGTACTCACTCTCCGGAAAGGCAAAAGATTATTACTACTGGAAAACTATAATTCGTATTATCATTGGTCCTTATTGTTCTTCAAATTAAGGACTAATCACTTTTTGAGTAGTTTGGTGCCTTCAGGAACTGTTATTATGGCTAACTACATTTACATTAAAAATGTTTTCGTTTGTTAGATAATTATGAACTATTGAGATGGTTACGAAAGCTGATTAAATTAGATTTCAAAATAAGTAAGAACTTATTCACTACTGTAAGAACCATCTAGTAGAGAATCAAAGCATGGAATTCCATAGTCATGATTTCAGTGGACATCCAGTGAGATTTTAATATCATTTTTTATCAAAATTGTAGCAGTAAAGAAGTCTCCAAAATAAATAGTTAGGTCTTTAATATTGATGCCGACCTTTTTGGTTTTATTGGACACAACCCAAACGAAGACACTCAATTACGCATCCGCACCAGACTATGAGTGGGTACGCCGTGCCACACCTCTCTTGCAACTATTAGCGAGCATAGATCAAACGCTTCTCAACATATTGAAAACCCAAGGAATATATCTTCGAACTCACTAATCCCTGATTTCATATTTGACTGGGCTGGTATCCTTTACTTATAAAGGCATTACAGACAAAATCATTGTCAAGCTCTGAATATCTGCAGCATCTTTAAGACTATAAGTTGAAGAATATCTATTCATGTTTATTTTCTCACACTTTCAAACACAAAATAAGAGGATAATGAATTATTATTGGATGGTAAATCATTCAGCTCTTTGGACTATCAGTGACTGTAAAACGTCAGATTACCTCTCACGAGTATTTTTTTCACATGGTGTATCACAGCTTAATATGAATCAACAAAAATTTTATTTGTTATAGTCAATCCAGAAGTTTCTTTAGGAAGTACACCCTAATCCATGACACTAAATAGGGGGTTAACGAATGATCGTTACAATACCAGTTGTGAATGGTGAATAAAGACCACTAATCCATCAGCTGATAAAACTATATTTAAAACCCATTAATATACTTTAAGTGGACTTTAGTTCAGTGGCGCCCATAAACTATTTACGATCCTACTTGCCTCCTCTCTTTTGCTTTAATCAACCAACACTGCACATGATCATTATTACCCAAGCCTCTTCCTAGTTTACAGTCAAATTTCCTTTGAGTTTTTCATAGTTTTAGAAATACTTAATACAGTAAATATATCTGAAAACCTATCTTTCTGAGGGGGACTAGAAAATTATGGGCAGAAACTGCATTTTATTTAATCTAAGTTACATGAGACGATGCGGATATTTTCGAAAAACCAGAGAGAGCACCTCATAACGTCGAACTGTCAGACCTGGGAGGAAAACTAAAAGGGTAAGACAGAGCTAAATACAGGAAATTCATAGAAGGAATAAAATAGGGATTCGAAAAACCATTAACTCATAAAACAATTACGAAATCCAAAAGAAAGTCCTACCCAAATAACTTACTTAGTCACTTTCATTTTTTAAAGATAATGCAAAATTCTTACCAAAGGCTTGATAAAACCAACCAAAAATACATGACAGGTTGAGTATAACGTACATCAATCCTAGAGGTATACATGTCTGCTGCCGAAACCCATCATTTAATTTGGTTTCTTGGTGAGATCCTAAATAATACAAACCAGTAGCTTGTGGAAAACTACTTTGATTGAAAGTGACAGCCCCACAGCTCTTTTCTTTTAGACACCTCACAAATTTTAGGGGAATATCAAGCCAAATGGGATTTATCTTACATATGTCTGAACAACATTTATTAGTGTCTACTGTCTTTGTTTCTCATGTACGTCTTATAACATTTTACCAAGACTCTTCATTACAGCCGATGTACATGGTCGTGTAATTTCTTTAACGTAAGGACAACGGTGAAACATATGGGTCACTAATCAAAATATTTTAATGTGGAATGACATAAATGCCTAAGGTTGAATACAGGCTGGGAAAGCACATTATGAAAACCGTCAACGGAACTTACTTAGTGTAGAAGCATTCGAAGCTTTTAGGTAAAGCAGCAAGGCAGATAAGAAAAAAACTGAGGACAAAAGTTCAGCTCTTCCTACAACTCCAGTAACCTAAAAATATTTTTAGCTAATCTCTTCATACAGCTTCCGTGTGAACAGGATGTGCAGAGAATAAAATGGAGCTGAAAAACGCTGATTCTTTCTGCAAATAGCACAAACACAATCTAAAGCGTTACTTGAAACCCAAAGATACTTGAAAAACAAAAACACGACTACAGAATGAAGGACGATGTTAGTGGCATGGTATCCTGAGGGGCTAAGCTCGTGGAACAAAAAGTTAACTCTAAACGTAAGGACAGTGAACGGCCTATATGACTTATGGCTTCTTTCCTGTGAAAATAAAACTTGGAAGAATTTTCATCAGACCTCATTCATAGGAGTCCCCCAGAAATCATTTTTGAAAAGCTCCGATAAACTTGTAGACGGACGTAAATCTTGATTGTCTCTAATAGCAGATACATCATCAAAGACGAATCCACAACCCAACGAATTAAAGTAAATCGCTGAAGAGAACAGACACAGTAAAACCTCCTCCCACATAACAAAGGTGCAGCGTACACCAAATTGGTGCGTTTCCCAAGGTCATTAGTTTCTTATTCACCCAAACCTCAATGAACAAGAACGGAGAATTATCGGTCTCTTGAGAACTGCATTTGAGTTGATGAAATGAGCTTTATTAACTAGTCCTTTAACTCCCGCCCACCAATGAGGCAATTTATTATGCACCGTCTAATATCTAGACGGAACGGGAATATAACGAACCCCATTGTTATTAAAAGGAATATAACCGAATTAAAAATACATGATTTGTCCTCGCCCACCATTCATTGATTACTATTCATGGCCTTCTGCTCTTAACCCTCACTTTCAGATTCCGAATCTCTATGATTGTTAAAGATATATCATCCTTCCTTAGTGTCATGTCTTTTTCTTCTCTTCTATTACAAGTAGACAGATAGCTCACTAATCGTATGGATGCTGATCAACTAAGGCCGATCGAAAGAAGCTCAGAATGTCCTAAATTCTTGTGGAGTGCTCAATGTTCACTTATCTTACCCTGAAAATTCTACAATCTTCTTTTTTATATCCTTTAATTTGTTATTAGTTTTTACCATCTCTTAACCACATATAATCTGACCTGTCTTTTATAGCTTATACCATTAGTTATCTTCATAGAAGTGTGATATACTTAGTGGATGTCTAACCCAAAATACAAATGCTTTAGGCGTCTGGTTTGCTTGTAACATGGAGCCAGTAGAGACAGTGTATTCGAACTATGGGTCTTGATTAAACCAATATTCATACTTACCACGAACGTAAGAGGGCGCAACATCACAAAAGGGGGGAGAGTGACGTTACTGACCAGCATAGATGACGTTGGAGAGATAACTTCAATTCATCCGTTTCTGTAGTGCAGAACATGTTAACGTATGGCTCCTTGTATCAAGTTGGATGTCACGAACCAACAGTTCTTTCTGAACCACTTTCATTTATACAGTTGCTTATCCACTCACATTTTGTTTACGCTTATTTTCTCTAACATATTAGAATGCTTTTGCCTAATAAATCTACCTTAACTTCCTAATTACAAGTATAGTAGTAATTATGACTGGTGTTTTTTGATGAAGTATTCAGAAAACAGGGAAGATCTGAGACTATTAAAATCAATCTGCATTTGTCGGAAACGTAGTTGATAATTCAGAACAACCGACATTACGTGCCACACTTATTTCATGATAACTTATTTCCACTAAATTTGGCATTTTTTCATGAGTTTTAGAGGTTGACGGTTTTATACAAACTTGTAATTGCATTACTTTTCCGATAGGTAATAAAACTTGATGTAAATCTCTATACTTGTTTGGTACCTGTCTGAATACGTCGGCGTACAGACTGAAGAGCGTTCTAGAATCGTAGAAACCACCAGAATGTCATCATCTAGCGTTTGAATAGCGATTTATCACTATAAAGGCTTCTGTTAGTGCAATGTTACAACAATATGATGTATCATTTGTCAATAATTTTTAAAAGACTTATTGCCACCCAATCAAACCATAGCAAGTTCGATCTCAAAGACTCAACCGTATATTTTGATGTTGGTTTGTTCTCTGAGCTGGATGGTTTGGTTGTGGAGCTTTCATTGTCCTTCTGAACGACATTATCAGCACAAACTTCGGGTAGAAGTGAAGTGTTTGAATTTCTCCACATGTGATTCACAGCTTGTCCTCTGCACCTCGATGTTGATTGGTTCTTATTGACCTTAAATCTGTCATTGTTTATTTCTTTGTTTTGGTTGTATCTCCTATTGGTTTGATTTTTGTTCCTATGCTCCTGCATAATTTTCTTAATTGGTTGGTAGATTGGATTGATTTCAATATGTTTGTTTATTGCTGATTGACCTGAGTGCCAATCTTCTAAAAATTCTCTGGAATTTTTGGAATTGCATCTATCCAAAATCTGCACATTTTCCAGTCGAATGTATGTCCGTAGTTGTCCACGTGTATAGATATGACTGAAGAAATGTCGTGGCGTTTGACTGCTAATTGGTGTTTATGTAGGCGAAGATTCAGGGGGCATCCGCTTTGTCCACTATAGTGTTTGTTGCAGTTGGTACAATTTATCTTGTAGATGATGTTTGTTTTGTCCTCTTTTGCCATTTCATCATTTGGTTTGCATAAGATTGAGTGGAGGGACATTGTTAGTTTGTGGGCTACACCTATTCTTAAGGTTTTCAGCAGCCTTGGTGTCGTTTCCGATATGCCCTTTATGTAAGGTAGGGTGATCCTTTTGTTGATTTTTATACTTCATTTCGTTTCTGATGGTGTGTGCGACTGGTATTTTTTGATGAAATTGATTGGAACACAATTATATGAACGAAGAATATTCTTTTCAATAATTTCTCATCAGGTTCTACAATTATAAATTAATAATCCATAAAAGAAGATTGGCCAAGTTTAAGGCGGAGTACATCAATTTAAGAAACTGTAATATGTGAATCAAGGAGTGTTGTTTATCATATAAAATGAAAATAAGATCGAATCGTTAATGTTTTTGGGATGACTAATATGATGTGTTAACTTGAATCATTTATAGGTGAAATGAAATCGTAAGATAAATGATCAGAATATATATAGTTGACATGGGGGTGAGAGATAGAACAATGAGATTACAAATCGGAAATTACGTAATATGTAGAATTATATAAATTAGGTCAGATATAGTAGATAGGGGTGGATGACGAATAAATTTCTCTAAAAGGTTAGCAGGTGTGATAATAATCATCATCATAATAATAAAGATAATAATAAGAAGAATAATGACTGATAAGATGTGTAGATAAACTAAGTTTCAGATATAGAAGTGAACATTAATCAAATTAATGTCACCATATTACAAAATTGATCATTAACAAGTTGACCCTGAAGTTGGCCAGGGTAAAAGGTGCGGCTGTACATATTTCTTTTGGATGCAGAGCTCTGGCTTTTTGATCCGAATAGCAATTGCCTCAGCCGTCTGCAGGATTCTCTGTCTGACAGAATTAGGTAGACTACTGTTAACACGATATATTACTGTGAAGGATTGCTCGATGTCGGCTCTATGTCCCGTCTGAACTAAATGGGCTAAAACAGAGCTGTTAACCGTTCTGACTACACCTTTGCTTAACCACACTGGAAGATGTTCACGAGCCTGAGTATACAAATTCCTAGAACATCTGCCTATATAACTTGCTCCACAGGAGCAGTTGAATTGATAGATACAGAAGGAAGTGGCTAGTCTAGGCAATTTATCTTTCAACGTCGGCGTGATCATTGGGCGTGTGGAAAACATTAGTTGTAGTTTACCTGCATTAAAAGTCCTTTCGATTGATCTTCGTAGTTTCAATCTTACCATTTCGCTAGGTGCGTCACCTCTGAATTGTAGACGTATATACAGAGGCTTTTTATTCACAGTTAAACATTCTTTATGGTCTCTTTTACTAGTTATGTTTTTGTTTATAAATTTCTCCGGGTATCCATTTTCCCTCAGGGTCATATATAATGCTTTTGTTTCTTCTTCGACCGTATCTTCAGAGCATATGGTTTTAATTCTATAGTGTAATGTCTTAATTAGGTTCCTTTTGTACTGTAGAGGAACAAAACTAAGAAAGTTAGTATACTGATCCGTCCACGATGTTTTCCTGTTTATATTTCTCTTTAGTGAACCGTCTTTTCTCCTTGTAAGGAGAACATCTAGAAAAGCAATCCTACCTCCATTTTCCTCCTCACATGTGAATTTTATAGACGGATGAGTTGTATTGAATAGCTGCAGTGTCTCCATTAAGTCAGTATAGTCGTTACATAGGATGAACGTGTCGTCCATATATCGGCAATAAAGTGAAAATTTTTCAATCTGTTGTGTGAGTGGCCTGTTTTCTAGTTTCGCGAGAAAAATATCAGCCATTATGGGACCTAGAGGTGAACCCATCGCGACACCATCTATTTGTCTGTAGATTTCCCCATTGAATTTGAAATGTACATTCATAGTACATTTTAGTAGTAATTCTTTGATGGTCTCCACAGGGACTGTAGTTACTGCTTCCTGTTCTCTAAGCTGTTCACAAATATATTCTACAGTCTCTCTGAGTGGGACATTTGTGAACAATGACGTTACGTCAAAGGACATCATCTTTAGACCTTTGGTGTTTATGTTTTTAATCTTCTCGACGAATTGGAATACATCCTTAATACTGTGTTTTACTGGTTGTTTGTGAAGTGGTTTTAAAACGGTTACTAACCACTTTGCTACCGTATGGTAAGGAGAATCGTACATGTCTAAAATTGGTCTCAATGGGATATCAGGTTTATGTACCTTCGGTAGTCCGTATAACCTAGATAAATGAGTACCTGTCAGCTTAATTGATTCATATATGTCTGGTGGAATTATCTGTTGATCTCTGAGCTTTTTTAAGGATCTGGTCAGTTCATTTTCTATCTTATTATTTACATCTTTTTGGTTATTCAGTTTCTGAAATTTTCGGTGATCATTCAAGATGTTATTCATCTTGTCAATGTAGTCATTTCTATTAAATAAGCTTGGATAGCCGTTCTTTTGAAGAATGGTTTTCAGGTGTTTTTCTTTATTTTTTCGTGCTGTGATTGTATTGCAATGTGTTCTCGCCCTCTTGAACAAAGTTTGTACACAGTTGATTCTGTGAGTTTTTGGGTTGTTGCTATTGTAGTTTGGAATTTGATCGGTGTGGGTCGGCTTCCTGTGCACTTGAGTCTCTAGTTTTCCTGTGTCAGTTCTGGTGATTAATACATCTAAGAATGGTAACTTGTTGTCCGACTCTTGTTCCATCTAAAACGTTTAATGATAGTTTAGTAAATAAGAAGACAGGTGAGTACAACCGAATGTATTAGACACGAAAATTACAGACCATCTCACTGTAATCTGACTACCATTCCGTAAACGGTTAGTTTACCAACTACCACATCAGTTGTCCCAATCTTGACCTTTCCTCCTGCAAATATCAGTCCATAGTCTCCGATTATTATTGCCCATGCATTTTCATACCAATCGCGTTTCGTTCCCGTTCTTTCCCCATCGATCTTCTAGTGAAATGCATCCTATGCTAGACCATCACCATATACTACTGATGTGGATATAAGTAACCCACACCACAATAGTTGTTACTATGCTGTATGTACTAA